CAAACAACACACACACACACACAAAATTTTGCTCAAACTTTCAAAAAAAAAAATCACCTTTGAGTAAACACCAAACACTGCAGTTTCATCCCAAAAGGTAAATGTTTTAGAAAATACAGAGCAAATGAAAACGGACTCACAATGGAACTTCTTTGCAACTTCAACAATACTCAATATAATACTGAAAATTCTGTTATCTCTTGTAGAAGATTTTTAGCTGAGCTTAATGACACCACATTGATACAGAAAGATTTCCATGTGGCCTGCTGAAGTCTGGGGAAAAGTGATGAATGTTTATCTCCTCCCATTTCTCATCAGTCCTCAGTGCAGCCCTTTCTTCTGATTCGCCTTTTAAGTACTTTACATACTCAAGCATAAGCTGGTTCGTGTTTAAGCCGACCCTTCCAAGATGGATAAGTAAAAATGGAAAATTTGTATAACCCGTTCATAAGCCGACCCTATAATACAGAGGTCAGCAAACTTTGGCTCCCGGGCCATCAGTATAAGCCGCCAGTGGGCCGAGATGGTTTGTTTACCTCGAGCGTCCACAGGCATGGAGGTAAACCTAAGTAAAGTGTCCTGGCGCGCCAGCTGCTTACCCTGACAGGCCGAGACAGCAACTGGTGGGGAAATTTTTTGTGGGGGAGAAGCTGGGAGTCAGGGGAGTAACCCCTGTGACCACCCCCCACATGACCCCACCACTAGCCCGGGACCCCCACATTCTCCCCATCCCATCCCTTCCCACCTTATCTGGGGAGGGGCAGGGGAGGATGTCTCTGGCTGGCTGGAGCTGCTCCGGCAGGCTGGGCAGCGCGGCCTCAGCCTGCTCTGATGGGCTGACCCGGTGGCGTGGCCACAGCATGTTCCAGTGGGCCGGGCCGGGCGCAGCCACAGCCTGCTCTGGGGGATGGGGCCAAGCGAAGGAAAAAACAATTGTCATAATTGTTTCCAGCAACAAAGGACTTACCAATGGAAAGAAAAAAATATTATAACTCTTATTTCTGAGTTAACTAACATATATTTACAAGTAACTTGATTTTTTACACAATAATGATTTTGTTTTCATTTATTAAAACCGATAATTTTCAGCCAAAGCTGTTCTTGATGATTGGTCATAAGAAGGGTGTTTTCCTTTGATGAAAGGTCACAGTGCCACATGGCTTAGAATGTCAGTGAAACCTTTTGAAACATATCGATCATGCAGTTTCTTTAATTACGCTGGAATTTTCTTAAAAATCCATTACACTGAGGGTGAATGATTTTTCCCCCTCAGTTTCAAGTTTTATTTTTTAAATCACTTTGTTTTTCTGTGTTCTGACAGTCATTGTTCTTTCACTTTTTTCCCCTCTTACAGAAATGAGCACCAGAACATTCATCCAGACAACCAAGAGCTAGTGAGGGCACTTCGGCAGCAGCTTCAAACAGACCAGGTACCATACTAGATGTTGGAAATGTCCATCCGTGTAATAATGTGTGGTGTAGATCTGTTGCTCCTTTACTGCTAAAGTTTAAAAAAATTCGGAAACGGGTCATTCTAGAAAAAGAAAATGTGTTCATGTCCATTGCATAAACTCCATTCGCTGCAGATAGACTTATCAAAACTAACTTCAGCTATTGGTGAAGTGACAAATTTCTTGTATGGATATCATGCTAACCTCTTACAATTTTAGGTCATAGATAAATTTGAAAGGGCCTGTCAGATCTATCCCCCTGTTTCTCAAACTGGAATCCATAATCTCTTTCAGAAGAGCCTTAAAGAAGCACAGGCAGGACCGGCTCTAGGCACCAGCAAAGCAAGCACGTGCTTAGGGCGGCACAATTCCAGGGGCAGCTTTCTGGCCATTCTTTTTTTGCTTGCTTGCTTGGGCAGTTACGCTCTCGGAGCTTGGGGCGACAAAAAACCTAGAGCCGGCCCTGAGAACAGGACAGTTCCAAGTTTCCCCACAAGGGAACGTAAGTTAGATTACAGTGCATGCTCCCTGCACAGTAACATAGAGCCTGGCAGTAGGGGGTCAGGAAGTCAAATGTGGCGTCCAATTTGCAGCTATGGAGCAGGGACCAGAAGCATTTAGACTAACAAGCTAAGCTTCCTAGAAAATAGCACAGCAGCCAAGGCCCAGTGAGCTGCGGTGATGAGCCACTCAGGCCAGCTAAAGGCATTGGCCCCTTCCCTGGCACATATGGGAACAGGAGATTCTAGACTGGGATGCCTGTGACAGAACCATGGAAGGAATCCAAGGATTAGCCAATTCCAACATGCTGGAATTGTTAAACTTCAAAGTTAACTATCCACCGTCTGAGCTTGACATGAAGAGGTACATAGGCTGCTTCTACAATAGGGCCCAGGCCAAAATTTCTTCTTATAGCTAATGCTGATGCATTGCCTCTTGCCTAGTATAGACAGGCTTTTGTGAGTAGTGAATTGGAAGCTAGTTTTTTGAGCATCACTTACACTTCAGTGCACCTAAACTAAAGGGTTCTATTTGTTAAATATAGGATCACAAGGTTTTATTTTCATTGTCCTTAATTAGATTGAAGTGTATGCTATATAGAACAGATGGAAGAAAATAACGTGCTTGTTACACAAGCACCTGCTTACTGAATTAATTTTTCTATTTAAATATTATTCTATTCCTGCTCTTATTTAGTTTTAAGTTTGAGTCAGCTGTGTCTGACTTCTAGCAAGTAGAGAATATATTCTGGGTTTGTTAAAACTCTAAATTGAAGTTAATTCCTGAACAATTTGTCTCTCTTTTTTGTCCCAACAGGATGCATCTGCTGGTGATAGACATCGTTTCTATACTGACATGTCCTGTCCAGTCTGTTTACAGCAGGCTACGTTTCCCATTGAAACAAACTGTGGACATCTTTTCTGTGGTAAGTAGAAATGATCAGCAGAGAAAATTAAAAATTCTGACATTTAAACTATCATTATCACCACTAGTTTATTGAGTTAACATCCCATTGAGATGATCAGGGCAGATCACACCTCTCTGAGGACAGAACCTCCCCTTCCTTCCTCATTTCAAAGCTCCTGACCCGGAGGTGCTGCCCCTGCAGTTCCTGTTGGCCACGGTTCCCAGCCAGTAGGAGCTGCGGAGCCGGTGCGCAGGGAGGGGGAGAGTGCGGAGCCCCCCGTGGCTGCCCCTGCACCTAGGAGCTGGAGGAACATGTTGCAGCTTCCCTGGAGCTGGGTAGGGAGCCTGCCAACTGGACTTTTAACAGGACTGACCGGAGCCACCAGGGGCCCTTTTCAATTGGGTGTTCTGGTCAAAAACTGGACATCTGGCAACCCTATGTGAAATTTTTCACAGCCCTGAGCAACGTATCAAGGTCAACCTGAGTTTTAAGTGTAGACCAGCCCTTAGTCCACAGCAAGCTGGGGAGTTAATTTACCCCTCATTAGTGTGTCACATACTGTCCGTCTGGTCACTACTGCCATGCCCTAACAGTTCCCTAGTCTAATGCACACTGATCTACCCCTGTTTCAAAGCAGGGTAGATCAGAAACACTAGGCAATTGTTAGTGCGCAGCTGCAGCGGCCAGACAGGTACTTCGTGTGCAGCACACTAGTACAGGGTAGATTTACACTTCAGCTTGCTGCAGACTTAGTGTCCATGTAGACAAGCCCTAAGGCTTGGTTTTGAGTAGAAGTAGTCGAGTTTAAGTACATTATTCCAGCTGTGCTCTTATCAGAGCCACGTAGGGCTTGGCTACACCTAAAACGTAGGTCGATCTAGCTACCTTGTTCATGGCTGTGAAAAATGTTATGCTCTGTGCAATGTAGTGAGGTCGGCCTCCCTCCATGATAGATGCAACCTGGCTGTCAACCTAGCTACCGCCTCTCGAAGAGATGGATTCATTACAGTGACAGCCCCTTCCGTTGCTGTCGTGTCTATGCTACAGCAGCACAGCTTGTAGACATACCCATAGAGAGGGGCTACTGCCATCCTCCTGTGTACCTTGAGGCCTTTGCATACATATACATATATAGCACAGATATTACACTTTTCCTCCTTAGCACGTTGCAAACTCGTGCCTGATTTGTCAGGGGTCTTGTTTAGTTATGGAGAGGCAGAAGGAAAGAGGCAGTGGGGAAGGGTAACCCAAATGAATATACTCATACGTGGTGCTCCAAAAGTTAATGAAAATTACTCTCCCGATGACTTATTTCTGAAGAATATTTGTAAACTGAGGTTCTTGGGTAACACTGTAGTGCATGAAGTTGTCTTGTTTACCTTAGTTTATTAAAAACCTTCTAGAAAGAGATTGTGATTGAGATTTTATTTGACATGCTTTAGAAGTAAAAGTTTATTGTCACTCACCATCTCTTCTAAATAGCCTCAGAACCTATGGATTCTTCTTCGAGTAGCATCCCTATGGGTGCTGTGCCGTAGGTGTGCTAGCGCCCCCCTGAGCCTTTGATCAGAGATTTCTCATAGCTGTGTCTATTCGGCCTGTGCATGCGTGCTAGTCACCTTGTGCCTTGTTATATAGCACTGCACAGGCGAACTGCCCTCAGTTCCTTCTCAACCGCCTCAGCCTGAGACGCAGCTCTGGCAGTTGTCCCCGTTGAGGTTTCTCAACTTTGTCTTCATTTCTTATTCTAGTAGCTATTTGTAGTAGTTCTTAGCGATAGTGTAATTAGTTAGTAAGTAGTAGTAGCTTTAGCTTCCTAGTCAAAAAAATATATTCTTATATATATTTAGATAGATATTGGTTAGTAGATAGGGTAGTTCTTGTGCACTGGGAGCTTATGCCTGGTTCTCCCGCTTTCAGACATGGTCTGTTGTGCCGGGAGGCAATCCCAGTAAGCAACGGGCACGACTGCTGCATCTGTTGCCTAGTGGAATTACTCATCACCCAGAAGTGGAAGTTCTGTCTGGCACTGAAATTCAGAGCCAGAAAAAACAAAGAGAGAAAACTTCGTCTCCTCATGACGGAGAGCTCTCTATGCCCAACTTCTGACCCAGGCCCAGGGGACCACCAGTCTCCCAGCAATTCTATTGCCTCCTCTCTGTCTGAGCCACACTCCTCCAGGGCATCTCAGAGGAAGACGCAAGACCCATCTCATAAGTCCTCCAAGGACCATGCCTGAGGCTCACCAGGTAAAAAGCTGAGATCGTTGGTGTCTTCAGCCACTTCACCACCATCTGCTCTCCCGTCACGTACCCACGAGGCTTCTGGTTCCTCAGGGCACCACTAGACAAAAAGACAGAAAAGCCTTGGGCCCGGAGAAATCATTGGTACCATTAGCATACCGAGGTGGCAAGAAGAGCTCTTCCTCTGCTTCATTGGAACCGAAGAAGCCCATTCGGGCTCCAACCACACTTCTCTCGGAGTGCCTGAGACCCATGGTACTGTCAGCGGCCTCTGCCACCATCACCTCAGTGCAGATTACAGGCTTGGTACCGACAGCATGCTTGGTGCTGCAGGACTTCCATTTTCCCCAAAACCTGGCTGCATCTGAGATGCCTGATTCTCTGTTGCTCGGCTCCTATGTTCTTTTGGTACCGAGGACATCGAGATTGTCTGAAGTTCGCCCGATATTGTCCGTTTCACCTCAAATTTCTTCAGGCACTCCACCATTCCAGAGTGGGTTTGAGGATGAGGATTCTGATGAAGACCTTGCCTTGGTGTTCCAAATATCAGTTCAGGGCTCTCTCCTCGCTTTTGTAGAGGCCCCTTTCCAGAGGTCTCTGATGAGCCTATAACCACTTGTGGCACAAGATTGCAAGCACCATCTTTCTGGTATGAGCACCCCTGGGTGCCTTCTATGCCTTATGCACCACCTCCTTGGCCACATTGGGACCCTTGGGCAGCCTATCGTCAACAATATGCCAAGACATTAAGCACCACCCGTTGCAGAGAGGCAACCTGCATTGCCTGCTCCCTCTAGGAGACCTGATCCTCAAGAAGAAGCCTTTGAGGAGCAGGAAGCTAGAGCCGATGATGAAGTCTCTCCTATGGCCAATTTCTCCTCTTCATGTCCAGATGAAGCGCTCATTCGTCGTCCTCCTTTCTTGGCGGATAATTTTAAGCAGTTCCAGGATCTGGTCAAGAGAATTGCTGACTCCTTGCAATTAACTCGAGGAAGTTAAAAAACCTCATCATACGCTGCTTGTTCTCCTTCGTTCGCCCTCATCTGCCCACATAGCTTTGCCTGTCAACAAAGCCCTTCTGCATCAGGTGCTCCTTTTCAGCCTGTCATCTGCCCCAACTTCTGAGGTTATAGATCTCTTCAAGTTGGGCCTGCAATTGAACGTTCAAAAATCCATTTTGACCACTGTGCAAAACTGAGAATTCATAGGAGCTTATCTTGATTCAGTAGCAGCAGAGCCTACATTCCTCTGGATAGGTTTGTGGCCCTTTGCAAAAAAGCCAGTACGGTTCAACTAAGCCCCCGTACTGATCAAGCCCCCTGACAGGAACTGTTTTCAGTTGTTAGGGCACATGGCAGCCAGTACAGTAACTCCCCACTTAATGTCCTCTCGCTTAACGTTGTTTCGATCTTACGTCCCTGCTCAGTTACAGAACATGCTCCGTTTAAATTTGTGCAATGCTTCGCTATAACGTCGTTTGGCTGCCAGCTTTGTCCACAGCCGGCAGCCCCCCATCAGCTCCCCTACGCGTCCTGTCCCCCCCCAGCGCCCACCAGCAGACCCCGCGGATCAGCGCCCTCCTCCTCCTGCCCGCAGCAATCAGCTGGCTTGCGGCGTTCAGGAGGCAGGGGAGAGAGGGGGAGCCTGTGCCCCGTGTCCTCGCTCTTCCCCCTCCCCTCCCCGAACGCTGCAAGCCAGCTGATTGCCGTGGGCAGGAGGCAAGGGAGGGATAGGGGAGGAGCGAGGATGTGGTGTGCGGAGTAAAGGGGGAGGAGGTGGGGAAGAAGAGGCGGTTAAGGGTGGGGGCTTGGGCGAAGGGGTGGCGTGGGCGGGCCGAGGGTTGAGCCCCCCGCCTCTGGTGCTTCCACAGTAGGGGAAGCTGCTGCTGCGCAACGTGCTTCTCCTAGCCTACAGCACCTTCAGTCTCCTTGCCTGCCTCATTGTCTGCAGTGCCAGTGGGCTGTGCCTGTGTGGGGTAAGGCGGGGACACCTCCCAGCTATAGTACTATACTGTATGGCAAAAAAAAATTCCCTGGAACCTAACCGCCCCATTTACATTCATTCTTATGGGGAAATTGGACTCACCTAACATCGTTTCACTTAAAGTCGCATTTTTCAGGAACATAACTACAACGTTAAGTGAGCAGTTACTGTATCTTTGTCAGAGACCATGCAAGATTCCAAATGCATTGCCATCGGGTGGCTGAGGACTGTTTATTCACCAAACTGACACAGTTTAAACCTGCATCTTTCCATGCCCACCTCCATAAAACAATCCCTCAACTTTGGTGGAAAGACCATCACAACATGTGTGCAGAAGTCCAATTTGCACATCCTCCCCCAGCGGTTGTCATAAAGACGGACACCTCTTTGCTGTGGTGGGGAGCACATCTAGATCCAGGCCAAGTAGACGTCGCAAGTCAACACGTCAACATCCTGGAACTCAGAGCGGTTAGATACTCCTGTCTCCAGGTTTTGCCACTAATCAGGCAATCACATAATCACCGCAAGGATGCAGGATTTGTTTGGACTACATATCACGCATATTTTATATCGTCAAGGAGGCACAAGATCCCACTGCATCAAGGCTGTCAAGCTTTGGAATTGGTGCATACACAACCAGGTCTTCATCACAGACCAAGGATTCAGCATGTGACCCTGGATGTGTTCAGCAGACACTTCTTCCAAGACAACAAGTGGGAAATAGGCTACAGCATATTATACCACATATTCTGTCAGTGGGGCACCTCTCCGATAGACTTTTTTCGCCACAGTTTTGTGCTCAGTTTTGCTCAAGAGGCAAACTGGGTCACAGATCTCTGGAGGTATTTTTCACCTTCATTGATTGTTGAATCTCTTGTACGCATTCTCACCAATTCCGCTAGTTCTCCTCAAAGTAAAAAAAAAAAAAGACAAAAACCAGAATCACCCTAATAGGTCCGACCTGTCCCAGACGAACACGTTTTCCTTGCCTGATACAGCTGGCCATTTGATCTCCGATCACTCTCCATGCTGTTCCTCATCTCCTGTCCCAGGAAGGCAGGATGATCCTTTACCCCAATCTTGCAGTCCTTCATCTCAAAGCGTGGTTGGCCGATGGCTCATGGGACTAGAGACAACCTGCTCAGAGGAAGTAAAAAGAATTCTATAACACAGCAGGAAACAGTCTACCTGCTACACATACTTTCAAAAATGGACAAGATTTCTTTCTTGGTGTGACCATAGACATATTCCACCAATGACCTCATCACTGCCAGATTTATTGGACTACATCCTAACACTAAAAAGTTTGGGACTATCGCTGAGCTCCATTAGAGCCCATCTGGTGGCCATCATGGCTTTCCACTGTCCAGTACAGGGTTATTCCATTTTTCCCCATCCCATGACGGCCAGGTTCATCCGGGGACTAGGAAATCTCTATCTGCCAGTCAAACACCCTACTCCTGTTTGGGACCTCCACCTGGTCCTTAAATGCCTCTAAAGACCACTGTTTGAACTAATGGCTACCTGCTCACAGCTCCATTTATCAAGGAAAGCAGTATTCCTGAAAGCCATCACATCAGCGCAACGGGTTTGGGAAATAGGGGTCCTTATGGCATCCCCCCCCCTTTCACAGTATTTTTTAAGGACAAGGTCATGCTGTGACCTCATCCAAAATTTTTACCTAAAGTTTCTTCCAAGTTCCATATTAACCAATCCATTCACCTGCCAGTTTTCCACCCTGAATCTCACCTAGATAATCAAGAAGCATTGTTGCACACCCTTGATGTCAGGCCTTCTGTCTGGCTAGGACTAAACCCTTCAGAAAGACCCTCAAATTGTTTGTCTCACTTGCAGATAGATCAAAACAGTCTGCAGTTTGTAGTCAAAGACTTTCTAAGTAGCTATCTGGCTGCAGTAATTCTTGCTACAAATCTTGTAATCATAGAATCATAATATCAGGGTTGGAAGGGACCTCAGGAGGTCATCTAATCCAACCCCCTGCTCAAAGCAGGACCAATCCCCAACTAAATCATCCCAGCCAGGGCTTTGTCAAGCCTGACCTTAAAAACCTCTAAGGAACACTTTGAACATAGGTACTCACTCAAGGTCCATTTCCATCTCTGCAGCATTGCTCAAAAACGTGCCCATTATTGAAATATGTAATGCTGCTACTTGGGTGTCTATACGTATATTTGCCGAACACTACACAGTAACTTACAACTCTGCTTCTAATACTGTTTGGCTCAGCTATACTTTCTTCTGTGCTAAATTTGACTCTGAAGCCCCCCGCCCAACACTGCCTTAGAGGGAACTGCTTGGTAGTCACCTAGAGTGGAGCACCCGTAAGGACACCATTGGAAGAAGAAAAAATGATTATTCTCAGTGTGCAGTAACTGAGGTTCTTCAAGATTTGTATCCCTACAAGTGCTCCAGTACCAGCCCTCCTTCCCCTCTACTTTGGAGTTCTCTGCTGTGGAGCTTGGTGGTAGAGAAGGAACTGAGGGCAGTTCACCCACCCAGTGCTATATAACAATGGCACGGGGCTGAGTAGCACACATGCGCAGGCCAAACAGACACTGCTATGAGAAATCTCTGATCAAAGGCACAGGGGGCGCTAGTGCACCTCCAGTGGACCACCATAGGGGGACACGCCTCGAAGAACCACAGTTACTATACTGGTTGAGTAACCGATTCTAAAGTATCCTTAACTTGAGCTGAACAGAGAAACTTTTTTTTTGTAGAATAACACTATTAAAAACAAATAACTTTATGTATAACTTCTTGAGAAAGTGTCTGGTAATAGGTTTCAGAGCAGTAGCCATGTTAGTCTGTATCATCAAAAACGACGACAATCAGTGTCTAAAATTACATTCTAAAGTATTTTTTTCTGTGCTACCAGGTTTGAAATCAAAATTTCCACTCATCTGCAAATATATTTGACTCTGTATCCTTAAAGTTTCTAAACTTGGGAAAAACAGAATTAACTGAAAACATTTTTTAAAATAAAATTGGAGGAGCTGAGGTGGCAGTTTTGTAAACACTTATAAAAAAAAAATAGCAAAACTCTGGTTGGTGTCCTCATCAAGGACAACATGTTTACACTGAAAAATTGAAATCTTGAAGAACTGTGCTAAAACTTGCAATGTTCACATCCTTGGCTTACTTGAGGAATCTGTAGGGGTAAAAGTATGTAATTTTGTTTTGTTACATTATGTTTATCATTTTGATTTCCCCTCCTTCAGATTCCCAACATTTGAGATTCTCAAACAGGGATTCTTTATCTGACTTCATCTAGTATCCATGTGGCTATCGTAACTTATACATTATCTGTTCATTGAGAAAAGTTAGTTGGAGCAGACTTGGAAAAGATTAAAAGGATTCAAATTTTTTCAGATATCTGAAAACTTATGCAATTTCAGAGCTTGAAACATTAGGGTGTTTTTACAAACTGAAATTTTATTTCTTGTAGTTTTCCCAGCTAAACTTTACCTTGGGTAAAGGCTTTTAAAACTAATCATTTTCCAATTACAATGATGCAGAAGCTTTTTGACTTCTCAATTAATATATATGGGATGGATTGATTTAAGTCAATGCAATTTAAATCACCCAGTTTAATCAGAATTCGAACCAGTAAGCTGAAAACCTTTATTTAAATAATCTATACTAATTGTGTTCTGCATTTGTACTTTTTAGTTATTTTCCTAAAGAAAAGTTGATTTTTATTAGTTGTTAGCTATTAAAACTTGTGAGGTAACTCCCTTCTCTTCATTTGTCAGTATAACAATGCCTGCATCTGTAATTTTCACTCCATGCATCTGAAGAAGCGGGTTTTTTACCCATGAAAGCTTATGCCCAAATAAATCTGTTAGTCTTTAAGGTGCCACTGGACTCCTTGTTGTTTTTGTGGATACAGACTAACACGGCTACCCCCAATATTAAAACATATTGATTTTCAGTTAACCATAGCCTTTACACTAAGGCCTTGTCTGCACTGCCACTTTACAGCGGTGAAACTTTCTCGCTCAGGGGTGTGAAAAAACACCACCCTGAGCGATGCAAGTTTCAGCGCTGTAAAGTGGCAGTGTAGACAGTGCACCAGCACTGGGAGCTACTCCCCTCGTGGAGGTGGTTTTTTTACAGTGCCGGGAGCAGCGCGACTACACAGCCGCGTTAAAGCACTGTCATGGCTTCCGGGAGCTTCTGGTCCCCAGCCCTGCTCCCCGGCTGGAGCACTGGAGCGGAGCTCAAGGGCTGGCGGGCCGGCAGTTCGCCCACCCTGGCTTAGCCGTGACTTCCACAGTTCTGTGGTTTTACTTTCTTCAAAAAGTGGCAGCAAACATGTACTGCTTAATATTATTTTTATGTTTATTTTAAATGATTTTTAAAAGTTTGGAGTTGTAAATTTCAAATTTAATTTTAAACAGGTTTATTTTTAAAATATAAACTCGTTTTTTTTATTTGTTTGTCCACCCTGCTATCGAAGTTAATGTTGAAATTGAATTGGATCCAGAATTTATTAATTGAATTTGGATAAATTTGGTTTTAGTATCTGAAGTTAATATTCTATAAAAACAGCCAGTTATGCCTAAAGTACTTGAGCCTAATATTTTAATATAATATTACTGTTTTTCTTGCTGAAATAATTGTTTTAAATCAAAAACGTCTAACAACCTAAAATTTAAATCATTACAGCTTTTGATATTTACCTCCATTAGGTGCCTGCATTATTGCATACTGGAGATATGGCTCGTGGCTGGGTGCCATCCGTTGCCCAATCTGCAGACAAACGGTAACACTTTGTATCATCAAAGACCCAATAGTTCTGATTCCAAATATAGGCCTGGAAACACGCACTCTCATGCTTACCTCTAAAAATAAGTAAGGGATGGCAGAGAGGGAAAGTATGAATGGTAAGCCTCTATAAAGGGAAGGGGAGGGATATAGGCAGGCAAGTGAGGGACAGAAGAACTGGTGGTGGGGAGTGTGGAGGGAGAATGTGAGTGGGACAAAAGTCTTAGTGGGGAAGTGAAGGGAGACCAGGAGGAAGAGAAAGACAGAGACAGACTAGCTATAAGGGGAACGGAGGAGAGACAGACAGGATAGCAGTAAGGTGGGGGGGAAGTGAAAGTATGATTTTAAATGGTTAGGGTTATATTGCATACTTAATGTTAGGCATATAAAGTGTTTAAAAGTTCAGGGCCTTTCATTGTTATAGACATGATGCTGTGGTATTTTTTAACATCCTGAGTTTGAGATGGCTGCACTACTCACGAGCTACGAGTGAGTTGTATGGGTCATCCCAAACCAGTGCCAGTAAAATCTTTACAGCATTTCACTATGTATTCCGTTTAGGGTGCATACTTTTCACAAAAATTGTCAGAAATATTTTAGAGAAGTTTTAAAGTATTATTTTGAGTATTTGTTGTATTCCTTCACCTGTAAAGCCAAAATGCCTCCATTACCATGAGTCCAATTACTTACCTTATTAGTGTTTCAGTGCTTCCCAAATACTCAGGTATTTATCCTCACCCCGTGTTTGGGAAGTGATGAGATCCTCACTTCACATGTGGGGAGCTAAAGCACAGACAGGCTTGCTGAAGGTCACATAGGAGGTCTGTGGCAGGGCAGAATTGCATCCCCAAGTTTCCTGAGTACGAGGCCAGCCAGGACTGGAAGATTTTAACAGATTTGTTTTAAAAAACCTCTAACAGTGCCCTAAAAATGATTTCCCATTTGACTGTTTTAAGATACAGTATCGTGAGCCCTTCCAGGGCTAGTAGCAAGTATTACGTTACATCAGAAAACCTGGGAATCTCCTTGTCATAGAGCAGCCCCACCTAGAGTGCCTGCCCCCCATGCAAGCCCTGACATGTGTGCCCTGCCTCGGTTTCCCCTCTCAGATAACCAAATAACTTCACTTCTCAGGCTCTTCTCCCCCAATAACACCCCTCCTTGGGATTGATTTATTATTAAACCATGTGCAAAATAAAATCCATTCATTATTCCCAGTGCAAATAATCATTACGATCACCCGACATCTCATCTCATGATGCCCCATGTACAACACCACGGCACCTTCAGCCATATCCGGACACTGTCCTGTTTTTGTCTCTGGACAGCCACTCCAGCCCTGCCCTTCCCAGTGGGAACCCTCACAGCCTGACTGCTGAGAGATGGTTTTTACCAGGAGAGCATCCCTCACTCCTGCTGGCCATCTCACACTTCCTGTGGGTCCAGCTCTCTGCCCCTGGAGATGAAAGTAGATAAGCTCCTCTGGTGCTCCCCTGCCATCAGCCCTCTCTGGCCCTTGGCTATGGCTTTCTGGCTTAGAGGCAACTCCTTCTGCTGTTCCCTGGCCTTCAGGCCCCTCTAGCCCTGGCTCTGACTTGGGGTCCCCAGCCAGCTAACCCCTCTTGCTGCTCTTCTGCCTTCAGCCTTCTCCCAGAACCATAATCAGTCTCCTGGCTGTGGCCCTTCATCTCAGGAAGGTCAGCTGGCCAGTCTTCCCAGGTCTCCACCCTTTTCAGCCTCCTGGCACTGGCTAACCCCTCCACTCGGCTCCCTGATAATTCCTCCCTTGTTCCAGGGAGGGCTGCAGAGAGCTTTCTCACCAGATCTCTTTCTTCCCCAGGCATCCTCTTTTATAGCTCAAAGGGCCAGTATTATCTTGTACACTCCTCTTTCCAATGGACTAAAGCACCCATATCTAGCCATGGAAAGTGACGAGCTATTTCATCTTAAGCAGGGTCTGAAACTCTCAGCCTGCGGGCCATTTGTGGCCCGCAAACCTCCCCAATGTGGCCCGTGGGGCTCCAGCAGTTTTGGGGCTGGGTCTCTCCCGTGGCCCCACCTGCCACCTCCGGGTGCTCCCCCCCCCCCCCACGGTGATTTAAAATGGCCTGGGGCCCCGGCAGAGCAGCACATGGAGGTAATTCCCTTCTCTTCATGTGTCAGTATATAATGCCTGCATCTGTAACTTTCACTCCATGCATCTGAAGAAGTGAGGTTTTTACCCACGAAAGCTTATGCTCAAATAAATCTGTTAATCTTTAAGGTGCCACTGGACTCCTTGTTGTTTTCCTAACATCCTGTTTGCTTTTTTGACTGCCGCTGCAAAATGCGTGGATGTCTTCAGAGAACTATCCACAATGACTCCAAGATCTTTTTCCTGATTAGTTGTAGCTAAATTAGCCCCCATCATATTGTATATATAGTTGGGGTTATTTTTTCCAATGTATATTACTTTACATTTATCCACATTAAATTTCATTTGCCATTTTGTTGCCCAATCACTTGAGAGCTTTTTGAAGTTCTTCAGTCTGTTTTGGTCTTAACTATCTTGAGCAGTTTAGTATCATCTGCAAACTTTGCCACCTCACTGTTTACCCCTTTCTCCAGATCATTTATGAATAAGTTGAATAGGATTGGTCCTAGGAATGACCCTTGGTGAACACCACTAGTTACCCCCTCCTTTCTGAAAATTTACCATTTATTCCTACCCTTTGTTCCCTGTCTTTTAACCAGTTCTCAAACCAGACCTCCTCCCCCACCCAAACTCCCTCCCAGAGCCTTAGGCAGATGGGGGGTGGAGTTTTGGGAGGGCGGAGTTTTGGGGGCTGGGTTCTGGGTGGCATGAGTGATATTATTGGCCCACTGGGAGGATTTGAGGACTGGCACTGGCCCTCAGGTAAATTGAGTTTGAGACCCCTGATCTTAAGCCTGTCATTGATCTGCGACTGTGTGTTGCTCAGCCTATGCAGTGGAAGGGGGATTTCATATTTGGGGGGAGGGGGAGCAAACTTTGGCAAGTTGCTGTTTAAAAAGGGGGGGGTAGGTGTTTGCAACTGCTCGATGGATTAGTGGCAGAGTATAAGGTAAGGTTTCAAATATGAAAAACTGCAAAGCGATGTGATACGCTTTATCATAAGGTTCTGCAGTTTATCACATGAATATCATCACCACATATGTGTAAAATTACAATAGTTTTCTGTATATAGATAAAATGTACACATGCGTATGTATGTCATATTGTGTAGTTTTAGATATTTGTAGCAGAATTAATTCCCCAAACTATATTTTTCTTTAGGAGGAGAATCCTCCATTCATTACTTTTGCAAAAGCCAAGACTATCCTTTTTTCTTGTCCTGTCCACTTTTTCTCCAATTTAATCACCTTATCCTCAAAACTTCCCATTGTTGCCACCAGCTTTCCAGTCAAGGGGAACCTTAATGGGGTAGGTCCTGGAGACTCACTCTGAGCGTCACCGTGATAGCCATGATCACGAAGCAGGTTGCAGCGGACTCCCCCTAGGCTGGTGCACTTTGGAGGAACAGTGTTGGTGAAGGGCCCTCAGCCACTGTGCTATACAATGAGCTCAAACTTTGCTGCTTTTATGCTTCAATGCAAGATCATCAGTAATGATGACAGAAGCATTTGTCTGATTTTTGGGATAAAAATTTCAAACCCCCCAAGCATCTAAGTGCCTAAATCACCTCTGAAAATGGGACTTGAGTTCCTAAGTCACTTATGCAATTTTGAAAACTTTACCCTTGATCTACTTCAAAGACTGGATTCTTGTACTTTGTCCTTAGTAAATATTTTTGAAAATAGCTTTGTATGTATCCTTTTTATAGTATCTTAAAATGTTAATTCTTTAAGACTTGGGAGCTGTATCTAAGTAAATACAGTGCAAGTATTAAACCCTCGTTGTTTTTAGGTTAATATTAAGAAACAAGGCCACATATATCTAAAGTTGTACCAAGTTTGCTCTACAGTAATGAATTATACTTAAAGAATGAGGTTTTAGCACTGAATTACTATTGTTTCATCTATGAATTTGCAATTTCATATGCGTAAGAACTGTCAGGCATGAAGGGACTTCTTGCTGTTGTGCACAGGTAACATTGTTTTTACCACTCTTTGGTGAAGATCAGCAGGATGCAGCACAAGTGCTTCAAGATGTTAACGATTACAACCGGAGATTCTCAGGACAGCCCAGATCTGTAAGTAAGATTTGGGGGGGGGGAGGGGGGAGGATCAATAAACTAGCGAAAGACTAACACTGTTTTATAACGTGTGATTTTTCTTGTAGATGTTTATTTTCTGTTCATAATTGACGGGAACTACACAGGTTTTGTTTAGTAAATACAAGTCCCTGCAGCTTAAGCGTAAAAACATTTATTTTTAACTACTCCTTTAACCTTGCATTTCTGTTGTAATGACTGATTAAAGCCCTGATTCAGAAGAGCATCCTTTATTCAGGAAGGGTGGTTAAACCTGTACTTAAACACTTTCCTGATTCAGGGCCTAAATTATTCATAATTAACAAGTAAAGAAATACGTGGCTTGTAAAGAAAAATATTTCCCTTTTTGCTCCCAGAACTGATCAGGAGAATTTAGCGTTGCTTTTTTCTGTGTTGATATAGCTCCCTTTCTTTTGTAAATGTACTTTGAGTTCTATGCTCCCTCGATTTCCTAATGATTTTTGTTTGCCTTCTCTATTTTGTTCTCTAAACTTTTCTCTCTGAGAGTGTTATTTCTATAACTGAATGTCGTAATTAGAGTTGTAAGAACTTTAGAATGTACACCTTGCAAGCTACTGTTGTCACATTTGCTAGGCACAGTTCGTAAACGCAGATCCTGTTCCTACAAATGAGATGTGTCCAGGCAGATCCCAATGATTTCAGTGGGGTCCTTCCTGCACATATCTCATTTTTTTCTTACTAGGGACCCTACTCCAAAGAGTTTACAATCTAAATAGATGACCCTGACAATATGAGAGAAAGGAAGTATTATCCCCATTTTACAGGTACAGAGACTGAAAGCCTGGTCCAAAGGTCATTGAAATTAAGAGACTCCCATTAACTTCAGTGGGCTTTGGGTTGGGCCCTCAGCGACTTGCCCAAGGTCACACAGGAAGTCCGTGGCGGACCCAGGAGTTGAACCTAGACATCCTGCCTGTGGATGTTGAACACAGTCCATTGCCTTAATCACAAGACTACCCTTACTCTCTAAAGTATTTTTTTAAGCTCAGTCCATGTCTCCATTTAGTCTTCTATTCTGTGGCTCTGTCTGTTTTGGGAAAGGAGCCATTATTGAAACAGTGCTAAAATTAAAAAATGGCTCCCACTGAACCATGGCTAATTAGTGTGGATGACGCCACAGAATAAAAAATAAGGAGGAGCTATGGCTGGGTTTATTTTGTTTTCTAATCGTAAAGCTTGAACAGTGCCTTGAAAAGCCACATTTAGCCACAGCTGGGATATTGCATTATTCTTTTTCAGAGGAAATGTCATCTGTTGCAACTTGATTATGGTGTCTCATAGGAATTCCCAGCTTTCTTCCATATTCTTCGATTTTCCCTACTTTCTCCCACTGCACCCTACTCACTCGATTAACATTTTGCTTTCCTGAAATCTGTTTTTGTTGATTTACCTTTTCTTAAATATATACCGCTGCATTCTGTGAACCTTCTCTTTGTTATAATGAGTTCAAGTCCCTTTCTTTATTGTATGGAACTAATCTAACTTGTGAGCATTGAGTCCAAACTTCTCTACTATTGTTATATCCTCAGTCAGTTACTACTTATCTGTAAGAAATGGATCCAGAATAGTTGCTCCACTGCTTGCTACTTGGTGAATCATAAGTTGTCTTCTGTGTCAATTAAGAACCTCTTTGATGCTAGTTTTGCTGTGTTTCTTACCCAATAGGTGTCTTGGCAGTTAAAATCTTTCATGAATTCATTATACTGTGGTTTCAAGTACCAGGTCTATAAACATTGTCTTGTGACCTAATGGATTCCAAAACTGGTGAATGTGATAGTATCAATGTTGTGCTTTAAAAAAAAAAACAAAGAAAAAGAAATCCCATTTAGGAAGTATTTATGTTGGCATTTTGTATGATGTTGCAAAAGATTAATTATTTCTGTTTTGTTTGTTCGTAGATTATGGAAAGAATTATGGATTTACCCACTTTACTGCGGCATGCTTTCAGGGAGATGTTTACTGTAGGGGGCCTTTTCTGGATGTTCCGTATCAGAATATTCCTCTGCCTGCTAGGAGCTCTGCTCTATCTGGCTTCACCTCTGGATTTTCTTCCTGAAGCCCTCTTCGGAATTCTGGGATTTTTAGATGATTTCTTTGTCATCTTTCTGTTGCTAATATACATCTCTATCATGTACCGAGAAGTGATAACGCAGAGACTGAATAGATGAGTGGAAACAATCATGACACAGATGTTTGTGTGGAAAGCTGAACAAAGGGACCCATGACACAGTATGACGTAGTAAAGCACCTATATAAACTTTCAGTTTTTGCAATTAAATAGCTTGTAGTCAATTATTTTATGCAAATGTGAGGGGTTAAAATGTGGTGATGCTTAACTGGAATCTTTAATTTGTGTGTTACATACGCTTAAATATTGAAGAGGTTAGATTTATGATGTAATAAATTACCTACATCTGCTTACACCCAATGAGCAATTGTATGTAATGCAAGATAATGCTAGTTATAAAACACCTCTTCGTGTGTAGTTTGTGAAAGGGAAGTTCTATTTAAGTGATGTCAGGACTTCAAACAAAAAAGAATTCAGATTAGCTTGACGCATTAAGACACTTCAATATTTAGTTTATCAAATTGCATAATTCTCACTGTGGTGGGTCAAAGTATTTTTAAATAACAATCGTTTTTCATATCCGTCTATGCAAGAAGAAACCCCCAAAGACAGCATTACAGTTGACATAATGAATTTGACTGCTGGACACAATTCATATTGCACAAATAGAGGAAAAAACACTTCAGTATTGCTTTAACTGCACTATGTATAATGATATGTATTTCCAATGATTTTACTTTTCAGTTTTGGGGAAAAAAGGCTTTCTATTAGGGTCAAGATGAAGAAACCAGGAATAGTCAACACTTTGGTGACCGGCACTGAGTAATATTTTTTTACATAGGTTTTGTGTACATTAGCAGTATTTGAATGTCGGGTAAGTTGCACTGTTGTAAGCCCTACTTTATATACCCGTGCAACACATTTAAATGGGGGGTTTGCATCAGGGCAGCTACATCAAAGTAATTTACCACTGCAAAAAAACCTTAGGTTTTTAGTAGCAATTTGTTTAAAAGTGGGAATCCAAAGTGTATGTCATAACTGGATAATTTTTACACTTAACATTTTACCTGACTATGGATGATAATTAAAGTATTTAGATAAAACCAGTAACTATTCTTTCTCACAGGTTTGTACCTATAAGTTTAAAACAAAACAAAACAGTAACATGGGGCCATAGAAATCTGCTAGAAAATTAAAAATCCGTAAGATTTTTTTTTTACCCCAAATGTTTGGAATTTGTGGGTATTTTTAACACCAGATATCACAAGCTACAAGGTGAATGATTTGAAAATATTTTCATTTTATGAAATCAGTGCTGCTAGAAAACTCAAAATCCTCAAGCCATTCTGTGGGAATTCAGTTCTGTCTAACTGGAGAAAAGAAATACTTTTGAAGCAAAATAGCAAACATTCTAACTTTCTGAATACTTGAAAATAAAATTAATAGAATAAGCGATCCTTCGTATGTTTACATAATGTGGGTGGGACATATTTTGAAATGGCCTCCATTAATATAGTGTCCATTTTCTGATCATGCAAATATATGTGCATACAGTTTTGAGTGCTTATACATGTGTAGGAAGAGGATGGGATTTTTTCATTGAATGCTTTTGGTTAATGGGTTTTGCAGAGTCTGTCAGTTTTGTGGTGTTGTATCCGTGCTTAAAGTGCACATCACTGGTTTTGCCTTTATAAATATAAGATGGGGTGGTGGTTGTTGTTTTCTTAAATTTGCCCTTGAATATCCAAAGTCATGTTATGATTTAACTGGATTGTTGAACCTTTCTTCGGACATATTTTTTATTTGAGATGGGTGAAAAGAGAAAATGGAGGTGATAAAAACAAAAAATTAAAAAAGAAAAAGACATGGTAATAAGTGTATGCTACTGGCTTTGGCTGCCTTTAGTGTTTTTTAGCACCTCATCTTTTCCCTTCATTTTGTCATCACTAATATACGATGACAACTTGCTGGCTACCTCAGTTAAATGTCAACATGCCGATACTACAGTATGTGAATCTTGCTTGATATTCAAGGAACTTAAATCCTGCCTGTTATATGCACATTTAAGATGACAAAGCAAGATATTATGGAGAGTCAGGTGCACAGATCTGCACATTGTTGCTGTTGGCAAAGCTCTCCAAGAGGTCCCACCTGCTCCTTTTAGCTGGTGGCAATATTGAAAAGATGGTTGTAGGACTGATAAAGTTATCCTCGTACATCGTTTGGGGCTTGGCCATCATGAGTCCTGTGGTCACAAATAACTTCCTCTTTATTTCTCAAGAGAACTGTACAGATTAGTCATTCTGGTAAGGGGAGTCCTTTCCTAACCTTGCTATCCCATTTCTTTGTTCTCCCACAGATGTCTTCACATTTTTGCCCGTGCCACTCTTTACAGCTGGAATGCCCTCCCTCCTCTGATCCACAAGACACTCCCTGAATCTCCTCATTCAAAGCCCTCCTTAGACCCACTTCTGCCATGATGCCTATGCAAAATTAGCCAACTAAGGAGTCTGTTCATAAACACTCTCTTTAGTACGTGAGCTAAGCTGTCACTGAGTAAGTGCATAATCTTACTGATGTTACTCTGTTTCCTCCCCTGCCCCTTCCTTTCTGTCTTGCCAGGCCATGCCTAATTTTAAGCTCTCTGGGGCCAAGGATCCTGTCATCTTTCTGAGTGGGAGGCACTCAGCTCACCTTTGGGTGCCAATAGAAATAATACAGGCTTCGGTTCAGCAAAGCTCTTAAGGATGTGTGTGTAAGTGCTTGGCTGAATTGGGGCTGTCTATCCTACCTGTAAAAACTAGGCCAGTTGATGATATGCTAAACTCATCATGTATTTGTAGTATGGACATTTTAAGTATGTAGTTTGACTGACAGTTTTCAGCGCTCTGTATGGTTAAGGAGGCGAGTGCTGTGCTCAGCTCCGTTATACAGGAGCAGAGGATGCGGCCAGTATGCTGAATTTGCTCATTTACTTTGCATCCATTCGTTCCTGCATAGATATCTTCCTTGTCAAGGAGAAAATTCTTCACCAAACCACTGATTATCAGTATTTATGGAAAGAATGACTGGATCACGCTGCCCTTATTTCAGATGATTCTGTTGTTGTGTGGCAATGTGCGTATATAGAAGCATATGTATTTTTCATGCACTCAACGCTGTGGTATCTGAGCACCTGTATGGATGCTTCTGTAATTCTTCACAGTAAATGTAAATTGCACTTACAAAGCAATGCTCAACAATCCTCCTCCTTTGACTAGATGCAGACCTGTGTTCCACTTAGGTGTGTGCATGCCCAGTGCACAGGAACCAGAGACTTTTGCCTAGCAGTCCCGGTAGAGGGGTGGCTCCTCCTCTGGCGATATAAGATGGTGTCAATCTGAGACCCCTCAGTTCCTTCTCACTGCCAGTTGCTGGAGTCTTTGCTCCACTCCCTCTGTCTCCCTGTCCCTTTGGGTGTTGGCTGGTCCACTTTTACAATGCTTGGGACTCAATTACCTCCGACAGCTGAGTCTTAGATACTATCAGATCGGGCAACACAATCCAGTTCCTCTCCATGCCCTGTTCCCACCTCTCTTTCCCCGTCCCGCCTCAGGGACCCGTCTCACAAGACACTGCTCACCAAGATGGTCAGCTCTCTCTTGAAGTTGGGAGCGGTGGAGAAAGTTCCACAAGAACACTGAGGCGACAGCTTTGACTCCTGGTACTTCCTGATTCCTAAATCCCAGGGCAGGATGAGACCCTTTCTTGACCTTTGTGGCCTCAACAAATTCATCAAGTACATGAGATTCCGCATTGTCACTCTATCGGCAATCCTCCCCACGCTGTCTCAGAATAACTGGTTTGCTGCTCTGGACCTTCAGGGCGCTTACTTTCAGGTGGTGATTCTGCTGGGCCACAGGAAGATTCTGCATTTTGTGGTAGGAGAACACCACTTTCAGTATATGGTTCTCCCATTCGGCCTCTCTTCTGCCCACTGATCTTCACCAAATGCATGGCGATGGTCTTGGCATATTTCAGGAAGAAGGGAATCCACATCTTCCTTTACCTCAACTGGTTGCTGAAGGGTGTCTCTGGAGAGGAGGTTCTCTACCACATGGACACAGTGTTGCGTTTGCTCGACCGTCTGGGACTCATTTTAAATACTGCAAAGTCAACGTTGTCTCCCGCTCTGAAAATCAAATCCATTGGGGCCCTGTTAGATTCCATGAGGTCGAGGGCGTTCCCGACGACCGATGGCTTCGAGGCAGCTCCACAGATGTTCCTCAGTCTGCAATCTCAGCCCTCCATGACAGTCCGCGTGTGTCTGAGCCTGTTGAGCCACATGTCCGCTTGCACGCAGGTGGTCCACTTCGCCAGGTTGCGCCTTCTCACTCTTCTAATGTGGTTCAGAACAGCATACCGCCTTGAATTCTCTGGACAGGGTGGTTCACCTTTCTTCACCAGTCCTAGATGCCTTGTGCTAATGGGAGTCCCCACACAGTGTGTGCCAAGGAATCCCCTTCGCTCAGCCCTCTCGGACCAAGTCAGTGGTTACTGACACTTCCCTTCTGGGTTGGAGGGCACATCTGGACTTGTTGAGGGTGCAGAGCCTGTGGTTGGAACAGGAAGCCTCACTCTATATCAATGAGTTGGAACTTCAGGCCATCCACAGTGCATGTCATGCCTTCCAAGACTGCATCCAGACAGTCAGTGTTTCACATACTCACCGGCAATACCACCACAGTGTACTCTGTGAACAAGCCAGGAGGAGCACATTCTAGGTTACTCTTCCTGGAGGTGATCAACCTATGTTAATTTTGCATCAAAGACGACATCACCCCCGTAGCAGTCCATTTACTGGGTATGCAAAATCGTCTCATGGACCAGCTCAGCAGAGTTTTCTCCCAGAGCCACAAGTGGTCCCTGAAGGGGAGTGTTCTCTGGGTCATCTTTGCAACATGGGGCATCCCTGCAATTAACCTGTTTGCAATGAGGGAGAACAGGAAATGTCAACTATTCTGCTCTTGAGAGGGCCTTAGCCTGAGATCCCTCTCCAGCACCTTCCACTGCACCTGGCAGTTGACTCTTCTGTATTCCGGTCATTCCACGAGTCATCCTCAAGCTCAAAGTGGATCGAGCCAAGTGCATCCTCGTTGCTCCTGCGAGACACTGCTGGTTCTCAGATCTCCTTGCTCTGTCAATTCAACCTCCCATTTCACTTCCTCTCCATCCCGACCTGCCCATGCAGAGCCACAGCCCAACCTTCCATCCTGCAATCAGTTCCCCGCACCTCACCGCATGGCTGCTGCATGGCTGAATGACGAGGAAGAGTGGTGCTCAGAGGCTGTCCAACAAGTCGTACTCAGCAGTCAGAAGTTCTCCACTAGGACGATCTACTTAGCAAAATGGAAGAGGTTCGATCTGGTCCATGGCCCGCGGGACCCAACCAACAGAGGCTTCCATCCAGGACATCTTGGAGTTACCTGCAACATCTTCAGAAATCGGGCCTTGTGCTCAGTTCACTGAGAGCGCATTTGGCAGCGATATCAGGTTCCATCCCCTGATTCGAGGGAAGGTCATTTTTCCCACTGCCACGGTGATGAGATTTCTGAAGGGGCATCTCCCCTTACATCCTCCAGTCTGAGAACCGGTTCCCTGGTGGGACCTGAACTCGGTTGTGACAGCTCTGATGGGCCCTCCGTTTGAGCCCCGTGCGTCCTGTCTGCTGCCTCTCCTGTCTCGGAAAACAGCGTGCTTGATAGCCATCGCTTCAGCAAGAAGGATGTGAGAGTTGCAGGCCCTAATGGCTGAGCTGTCTTACGCTCAGTTCTCCAAAGACGAGGTAACGCTGTGACCACACACACCGTTTTTATTCAAGGGGGTCTCTCTGGTTTATCTAAATCAGGCAGTGTATTTTCCTGTTTTTTTCCCCTCAACTGCTCTTCCCTGGAAGAACACTGCATCTACACTCTGGCTGTCTGGCGATGTCTAGCCTTTTTCTAGACAGGACTAAACCGTTACATGCTTCACGTCGCCTGTTCAGGTCATATGGGCTGCATGAAGGGGCAGTCGTCTCTGCAAAGACCATCTCTAGAGGGGCAATACCCCGTGTCAAGACTGCGTATGAGAGAGCTTCGGTTACACACACACACACACACACACACACAGCGGATACGGGCTCACTCCATGAGAGTGCAAGTGACTTCAGAAGTGTTCCTCGGGGACATTTCCATACTGGATATTTGCAGGGCTGCCACGTGGTCATCCATACCTATGTTTAGGGACCACTATGCTATTATCGCCCCTTCCAGAGCAGATGCAGGCCTTGGAAAGATGGTCCTGCAGTCCCTATTGCAATAGACTCTAGCCCCACCTCCGGATTGGGGTACTGCTTGCGAGTCACCGAAGTGGAATATACACGGCTGCATCTACTCGAAGAAGAAACGGTTACTGACTGTAACTGTGGTTCCTCGACATGTGATGCAGACATGTATTCCACAGCCCACCCTCCCTCAGCATCACAGTCTCCTCTCAGGGGCTTCCAGACCAAAGGAACTGAGGGGGTCAAGGTGCCACCACCTCATATAGCCAGGGGAGGGGCCACCGCCATGAACCACAAGTACTGCCCCTCTACAGGCAATGATAGACAAGTCTCTGATTCCGGTGCACCGGGCACGCACCCCTAGTGGAATATATGTCTGCATCTCAATTTGAAGAGACACCATTACAGGTTTTTTTTTTTTCCAGAACAACCACCAGTAGCCCATCAGTAGAGGGGAGTCTTTCTGTGAAGGACACCAGCATGAACAGAGCCCTCACCCCCAAAGAAAGGGATGCACTGTTAACATTATTCATAGGGATTTTTCTCCCAAAAAGTCCTGGGCCCACGTAGTCTACATAAAAATCTGAAAGACCGACAGCAGCAAAGCGCCAATGGAAAAAATGACACGCCCTGAAAGATTTTCATAGCTTTCCAATCAGCCATGAACATTAACAAGGGAACAGCCAAAACAGTATGTCCTAGCTCCCATAAAATATCCTGCAGCATCCCCAGGCCTCACAATGACCCTTATCACAAGGACTGTATGGAATTGCCTGTTGCTGAGTTGGTTGTGACTTGCAGGATTGATGTCATTGGTAACAAGGGACGGGACTAGAAGTTGGGATAAGATTATTGCCAAAGGTCTCCCAACAGCTGTTGGTGGCTAGGGTCTGCATGCTGCACTAGATAAAGCCTCTAAAGCAAAAACAATTCTAAGCTGTCTGTTTTTTACTGATAATAAATCACTGTTAAAACAAGAGTCTCCTTGCTGATTTTTTTACTGGTTTACTGGACTCTGTTCTGTTCTCTCCCCTCAAACTTGGTTACAGACCCTTTTCTTTAAAAATACAGTTTTCCAGAGTTGTTCTTACTGAGTGTTCGCTCCTTAGGGCAAGACAGCTGGAGCTCGCTCTTATGGGTGGTTTTGTTGTTTTTTAACGTTGGAGAGCAGTAGCAATAGGGTGAAATGTGGACCAGGTCACCCTCACTGAGCATAAACACTGCCCTCTGCGTGTTCCAGCCAGTTCCTTCAGTCACACAGGAAGCAAAGCTCCCAGAATAAGCCAATACAGATGGTCAATTCCCCCCCTCTCGCCCCCCCAAAAATGCCCAAAGTAAAATAGGAAAAAGATGTTAGCACTACACACCTTAAAAGAAGAAAATCTCCAAACTTAGCAGGCAGGCAGGTGACTGAGAATCCTGTTGAGTGACTCAGACAAATTGAAGAAGGTACTGTCATAGTTTTTGTAGGGAGTCAAGCAGAGGAGACCCCATGGGTGTGATTGTACCACACTGCAGCCCATTTCCACTTGGACTTGTAAGTCATGCTGAGATTTGAGGAGGACATAAACCACCTGCTGAGAGATACCAGGCCTATGACTGCACCCTGTCAGGAGCTCCTAGGCTGGGACAGAGTCAGGTGCCCTGGTTACAGCACCCATACAGGAGGCGGGAGATAGCCCAGTGGATTTGAACCTATGTGATGTTCTGAGGTGGGACTCTCAGTCTTTCCTGTTGAAGCTGTGTGGATGCCCACCGGCAAACGTTTAGCCACCTAAGGAACTTTAAGAGTAGAAACATTGGCACCGAGGGGCTTTAAGCACCTCCAGTGTTAGGTGGCAGTTGGGGTTTTGAGTATCTATATTTTGGGTGCAGGCATCGTGATTCCTGTGTGAATCTAACCCATAGTTTACAAGAGCAGACATCGAGGGAATGAAAAAGAGGCAGCTCTTCCCAGAGCTTTGTAGATCAGCATAAAGAGCGTGAACTTGACAGAAGGAGGCAGGAGGCCGCTGGAGGGATTTGAGCAGTGGTCTGATGGACAGATCCATCGTCCCCTTTTATCAAGGCTAATGAGTTACAAATTTGGTCCTGCCAAAATGCACTTGACTAATACTGACTAATGCAACCATTGTTTCATTCTGTTACTTGGCATATGAACCAATTAGCCAGTGAAGCTCATTGCCACGAGATATTACTGAGGCCAAGAGCTCAGCAGGATTCGGAAAAGGACTGAATATTTACATGGAGAACAAAAAATAATCGGAGTATAATAGTAGGTGGTAAAATGTAATGAGGTTGTGTAGAGGTATAAATCCTCAAGCTTCAGGTATAAGCCAACCTCTGGCTATTGGGGGAGTGGAAAGAAACTTCCCCTGAAGCCGATTCTCTCTTAGCTGCTACTCCAGGGTTTTTTACACCTTCCTCCAAAGCAACTAGTGCTGGCTATTGTCGGAGACGTAATACTGGGCGAATGGGCCTGGTCTGATCCAGTCTCTAATGTCCTATATTTCTAATCCATGTTAATGTTATGCACCAGTCAATATTACTGACTTGCTTCCCTCTCCCCAGCATTTTTAATAGATAGCTAAACTGAAAAAAAACCCACCACTAACTTTTTCAGGGCATCTTACTGATTATTTACAATGTTCCATTTTATTACAAAATCTCAATGTTTGTCCCTTGTTTTCCAAGAAGAGGATTTGTTTCTCATGATTAACAGATGCTTAATTGGTGGGAGGAAAGAGAGTAGCAAGTGCTAATATGAAGCCAATTGCTCATTGCTGGCAGGTGACTAATGAGGAGCAGTGGGTATATCAGGTGTTACTAATCGTTTGGCTAGAATACGTGGTGCAGAAAGCTGTTCAGCTTCACACTGACATATGTTGTGCTTCATATTCAAAATCTTATCTCCCCCCTCCCCCCTTCTGGAAATTTACTTGCTCCATTTGCAATAGACGGAGCTAGGAGGGGCTTCCATTTCAACTTGTACATTGTCACATTTTATACGGGAAAGTAACAACCCCTTATTGCAAGCCCTCTTGAGTAAACCGCTTTTGGCTGCCGAAGTAGCGTACCCCGAGGATATGTTCCTAGATGTGGTCGTTCAAAATCGTGGCTCCAGCTTGGGCCCTCGGAATTAGGACACTTGGTCAAAATCTGTTGCATTTGTTCCCCGAGTCATATAGAAAATTTGTGAGATTTTAATGTAGATTTACTCCAAATACATATGAAAAACACCCAATAAACTCTTTAGCAAAGTCTCAGAGGGGTAGCCGTGTTAGTCTGTATCAGCAAAAAGAACAGGAGTACTTGTGGCACCTTAGAGACTAACAAATGTATTTAGGCATAAGCGTTCGTGGGCTAAAACCCAAATCAATTTGTTAGTCTCTACGGTGCCACAAGTACTCCTCGTTCTTTTAGCAAAGTATGTGTCACCAATGAGCTGCTTTAAATCAAGTGGATGGTTATTTTTTTATATAACTTTTTTTTTTAAACATTCTCCTCAACCAACCTGAAATCTTTCAGTTCCCTGCTTTGATGTTTTCTCCAGGGATCTTCCTATTCTGCTCTTTCCCTCACCCCTTCCCGGCCTGACGACAATGCTGAGGACCAAAAGAAAAATGAATAAAAATCACAACTTTGATAGGATAGTTGAAGGTTTACATCTTTCTGAAATTTGCACCCTGATTTCAAGGGAATGTCTTTTCCAGTCAATCCAATTGTCCTGGATAAATACATGAGCCGGAAGTGCCTGTAAAGAGAATCTGCAGTTGCCAGCTAAATTATCAAGTCCCGGAGTTGTTAACCCCCTGATGGTAGTTCCTATGCACAGCAAACTGGAAAAACCCTTCAGTGGCTTTGTTCCTCTCCTTCCCCTGGTCCTGTATCCCACGGGGATGGGGGCAAACAGTGCTTTGGTGTAGGGTATTGGCTTCCTTGAAGCTAGTGTCTTTGGGTTTGATAATTGTTTATATAGATCAGTGAGAATACCGGGCGTGGAATTCAAGTGGCCCAGCCTGATGCACTGGGCTACAAAAGCCATGGTTATATTCACACCAGATTGTATTCACATCATAGTCTATTTACATGAAGCTGGAGCCACACCTGGAGAAGCTGGGCTGGTCAGGGTCACCAGGAGTGCCAGCCACAAGCACCATCTCAAAAACCCTGGGACTTTTAAAATCATCGCTTTGGGTTCTTTTTCATTTGGCTCCTCGCTTTTTGAGCCTTTCAGGTTCATGTTCTCAAGCTTTCCTGCACGAACCTGAGGGCTAGGAACATCCTTTTAAAAAAATGAAATCTGAGATCCTTACATGAGTCCAGGAGCCAGGGATTCAAAACCACCACCAAGTATCATGAGACCTGCAATAAAACCACCAGAGTTGGCAATACTCAGACGTGGACAATCCCCGTCAGATAGCCTTCCGATTCTGGCAACCCTGCTCTGGCCTGAAATCTCTCCGGATGACTCACTTCATCCTCAGTACTCACAGGAAGCAAGTGAGTCAATAATAATGACACTTTCCATGTCAGCAGCTAGAAGGGCACACACACAAAGTGAGTAACCTCCTGGGTTTATTTCTGTACCCCATGTCCTGCCTGACCTCATGCTCCCCTGCTGTTTAACTCCTGCTCCTTTAGCGGGTGAGCAGTGTGGGGTGTGGACGGTGTCTCTCTTTTTGTACTGCAAGAACCTGATTTTCAAAAGAGCTTGGTCTTTGTCCTCAATAGGAGGTGCTGGATGCTGAGCTATTCTAAAAATCTGGCACTTCTGCTTCTGAGTGCTGTACAAGCCATTGCTAATAGTAACGGGGGATGAGTTCCTGGAGGATCGGTCCCTCAATGGCTATTAGCCAACATGGTCAGGGATGCAACCCCATGCTCTGGGTGTCCTTAAACGTCCGACAGCCAGAAGCTGGGACTGGACAACAGGGGATGGATCACTTGATGATTTCCCTGTTCTGTTCATTTCCTCTGAGGCACCTGGCATTGGCCACTGTCGGAAGACAGGATACTGGGCTGGATGGACCATTGGTCTGACCCCATATGGCTGTTCTTATGAATATGAGGCAGAGGTGAGTAAGAGGGGAGCTGTGTTGGAACAAAGGAGCCAAAACTCAAATTAACACTTGTGACAGACCCAGACCAGTGGGGTACAGGAGTCTGGTAGTGGGCAAATATACTGGTCACTGGATGAGTAGTTTTCTGTTCCCTGAGTGACCAGAGCAGGGGCTGCACTAGAGTAATCAGGAACCTGCTAGAACCAGTTAAGGCAGGCAGGCTAATTAGGACACCTGGAGCCAATTAAGAAGAAGCTTCTAGAATCAATTAAGGCAGGCTAATCAGGGCACCTGGATTTTAAAAGGAGCTCACTTCAGTTTGTGGGGGGAGTGTGAGGAGCTGGGAGCAAGAAGTGCAAGGAGCTGAGAGTGAGTGCTGCTGCTGGAGGACTGAGGAGCACAAGCGTTATCAGACACCAGGAGGAAGGTCCTGTGGTGAGAATAAGGAAGGTGTTTGGAGGAGGCCATGGGGAAGTAGCCCAGGGAGTTGTAGCTGTCATGCAGCTGTTACAGGAGGCACTATAGACAGCTGCAGTCCACAGGGCCCTGGGCTGGAACCTGGAGTAGAGGGTGGGCCCGGGTTCCCCCCAAACCTCCCAATTGACCTGGACTGTGGGTTCTTCCAGAGGGGAAGGTCTCTGGGCTGTTCCCCCAACCCACATGGTGAATCTCTGAGGCAAGAAAATCCGCCAGTAAGCGCAGGACCCACCAAGATAGAGGAGGAACTTTGTCACACACTACAGATCCTTAAATGTCTTGCCTTACTCCAGGTCAGACTCTGCGCTGAGACCCACCAGTGTAAATCTGGAATAAATCTATTGATTTTAGACCTGTTACTCCTGAGTGACACTGGTGTACCTCAGAACAGAATTTGTACAGAATAAGTACTGGAGTAATAAGAAATTAACTGAAATTT